CCGGCCCACCTCCGCGGAGCGCAACCGCCTCCCCGGGGCGCCCCGGCCTCTCGGGCGGCAGCTCTGCGAGGGGCAGCGACCGCCCAGCGGGGGCATTGGCAGGCAGCAAACCCGAGGAGAGCGCCTCAACATCCCCACCCCACTCAGCAACCATCTCCTTCAGCGGTTACAACCGCTGTTACAACCCAGCCCAGCACGGCGTACCGTACCCACCACTCATCGTCGCCTCGCACCTCCGGCCCGGCCCCACCGCCCCGCTTCCGCCCCGCCGTGCCCAGGTCACAGCCCTGCTGGGAGATGTAGTTCTCCCGCCCTCTTCCGCAACATGTCGGCCCGTTGACCGAAAAGCATCATTGAAGCTGTAGCTCTCCAAGCCGCCCTGCCGGCTGGGAGTTGTAGTCTCCCGCCGCCCGTGGGGCAACTAACCCTTGCCTCCTCCCCTCAGGCATGGACGCCCACCCGGGTGCTTGTCACTTCATCGGCGCTCGCAGGCCCCACATCAGGGCCTGCCGCCGACCCGCACCTCCGCACCACGTCTCACACCGCCCTAGTCAGGATCGAGGTGCGGTGCTGAGGAACGCCGAAATCGCACACCTGCAAGACACGGGCGCTTGGGAACCCGGAGACCCGGTCCCATCGTCCTGTACCTGCTGCTAACCGCTACGCGTTTTTACAGAAACACAAAAAACCACTTTGCAGTTTCAGCAGTTTCGATTATTTGGTTTCCCTCTGCGACCATAAGGCTCACATTTCTTTCTTACTTTGCTTAATTGCTTGTAAAAATTGTGACACGATATCCTGATTGAATGACTTGGGAAAATGCCATGTAAGGAAAAAAAATCAGTAAAAACTGCAAAAATCGGCAACGCTGGCTCCATGTTCCAAAGTGGGTATTTCTCCTCATCCCTCGTACACATACCCACACAAATTACAAGAGGACTCTTAAAAGTGGCTAACAACTTCCCTCCTGAGAGACCACCACACCCAGTTTTGATTTTACCAATCTCCAAACTAGCAAACAAATACTCAGAAAAACCAGAATAATTTCCAAAGTTTTCTTATCTCTGAGGATTTCTGGGGAACAACCCTGATCAATTCCTCTCCTAGAGCAGCCAGGAGCCTTTTTCGCAGCGATCTAAGACACTAGGATGGCAAAGGTGAAAGCAGTGATTAAAGAAACTTCTCTGGCTTGGTGCAACAAAATATTTTTTTTTAATTAAAAAAATTAATTAGAAATTATATTTAATGAAGAAACCTCTGTCTATACACCCCACCTTTCCAGATCATGGAACTGTCTCACCAACACTTCGCCACGTAACTGTCAGCAAGGACATATTTTGGAGTCTGACTGGGTTTTATGCTAGACTCTAAAATATTTAACATCTTTATTGATGGCCTGGAAGAAAGGAGAGTATTGTTGATAAACTTCACAAACGACACAAGGCCTGAGGGAAGGGTAAATAATGACATGGAGAAGGCACTGGTACAGGGTGACCTGATCAACTGGCAGCCTGGGGCAAGCAAATATGCATTTCAATAAGGTCATTGATGAGCTCATTCATTGAAGAGCAAAGAGTGGAGGCTATACTTACCTGACATAAAACTTTACCCTGGGAAACACAAAATTAAAAGGACAAACGGGTCATGGTGGATTACCAACTGCCAAGATGGTGCTGCGGCCAGAAAAAGTCTTTCCTGCAACCTCAGATGCATAAACAAAGAAATTACAAAGAAGAAAGCAGTTTTATCACATCTAGAGTTGCTGCTGGCTGTTGAAATAGTGTATCTAGTTTTGATGTGCTGATAAAGTAGAGAGAAACCTGAAAAGGGACATGAAAATCACCGAGCAATTGGAAAACCTCTCACAGTGAAATGTATCACAGAAGGTCAGTTGAATTTATTGAAGAGAGAGCTAAGGGGTTGCAAGACCATAAAATACATGTAATGGCAACAGGGAACGAAAATATCAGTAATCGTATTTTTTTTCAGTATACCTAGCAAAGCCATGAGAAGTTGAAGCTAGAAAACATTAAAAGAAAAATACCCACACCCTCTGTACGCTAAGCCATGGGATGAGGAGAACTGGAATCATTTACTGTAAATTGTAGTGAATTAGCTAACACTGGCAAATCTATAGGTTTTTCTTCTAAAAGATCTAATCTCATAGAAATGAGAATCAATTCTGGAAAATTTTGCAGCCATTGCTACTTCCATTATCGAATTAGAGCACAGTGGCTTCTTCACAGTCTGCCCTGATCAATATGATGTGTGCAGCTGTGCAAAAACAGCCAGAGGGAAGAGATGTGGTTTCATTTTATTTATTTAATTTCAAATACTCTCTACAGATTTCACTTCCTATTTTTTTTCCTTCTGGAAAAATACCCTTCCATATAATAAGAGTAACCCAATAAGAACATTGCAAAAGAATGCAGTCATTCATTGCTGACAGCTATCTTTTTTCATTTTCTTTTCACATCTTCTCAGCTGCCTCAGC